CTATACTTCTTCTACTTATAAGTCCTTCAGAATTTATTTCATTGAATTCATGTCTTGAAGCTGACAGTGTTGAACTCTGAGGGACTTGTTGTTTTTATGTCCGTGATAACTGTTTCTTAATAAAATTGCTGTTGATGTTTATTAATAACAAACACAGAAAAAACGATAGATCGTAATCGCTGTGTTGTGAGATACTAAATGTACGTTGTTTTCTGCTTATCTGAAACATAAAGCGATCAAATAATTTCTTTAAATTCGATGATTAGAGAAAGAAAAAATGATTTTGCTAAACTAAAAGTGAAAAAAATGAAAAAATACACACTTCTTTTCGCCTAAGGTTTTCATTATAAAAATAGAAAATCTTCTATGTATGTTTAACCGACAAAAATAAAACATTTTCTCTACATATATACGATGAACAGTGAGAAAAAACCATAACATAACGACAATTTCTATTTATGAACAACACAAAGAGAGAAGAAAAATCATCTGTTTGCATACGACAGAAATAAAAGACAATAATGTCAATGTTTCAACACCAGATGATGTAAATATTTATTACGTAAATCGCTAAAATTGACAATTAACCTTAAGAATGATGCATGATTACACAAATGTAACGAATATTTATCACGAGCAAGCCGACTAAATGTTTCTTCACACAAAGATGTAGGAATGTATTTTGTGTACTCAATTACACTCACAAGCATGACTACAAACTCGTGCTACAAGTTATTCAGGCGCATATCGGACACATTCGTACTATTGTTTAACAAATTGTTTCAGCCGATGCTTGGCACATTGATGCTTGACCCTCACCCTCATCTAGTAAAGTGAGATCCAACTGCCTTTCCCCGCGGAAAAAACTGGATAAATTAAGCGTGTCATTTATTTTGTCAGGAGGATATGTATATCTTGCACACATAGGTGACACTATCGTTTTTTAGTATGTTCCCTTTTCACCCTTTCCTTCTTACACACGATCACTTGCTTTTACTTGAACCAGCTGGAATACTGAGGCTTCACAACGCAATTGAAATAGACTATCAACAGTAATTTTATTAAGAAACAGTTATCACGGACATAAAAAAGTAATGTACATGTATACAAAGTTTGTGTCTACGACAAGAGACAATTTCGCTAATAAGAGATTACGCGTTATAATATTGGAAGTAGAAAACAATAGTAGCAACACTCACTCCACCATGACTAATAAAATAGGTTGTTGTCTGAAATTTCTTATTCCTAAATCGACTCAAAGCATTGATTCCAAGTGCTTCAACAAATTGTCGAAACAGTGCATGTGTTAGAATTACACCATTGTTAAGTACATTTGCCCATACCGCGCTGGTGCCTTCAATATGTGTATAGTGTGTATCGTCAAATGCATGTGCTTCAGTACGGTACCAGTTCCCAGGTGATCCAAGCTGATCATAGGAATTGGCCAGATCGAGGATGGCATCGCGCAAGGGTTGACTGACTTGATTAATATCAAAGGTAACTGTACCTCTAGTGTTGGATGTTTGCCAGTCGTATACATCATTATTGGGACCGTAGAGATTGCCACGAGAACGACTTTGGATTCGAGGGTGGGCCAACAGAGTGGCATTGATGCTACCATTGTTGTTGGTAGAAACGATTATCGTGCCGGCCAGTTCAGTGTGGTCTGAGGGATCAGATGTGTCACTAAGACTTTCCACTGCAGACGGAATAACTAGGGACATTGTCGGGGATATGAAAAAAGCCAAAAGCATGATCGCCATGGCAAACGTGAAGCGCGCTGAATTAACAATACGATGTTTGTCACTGATCGTCGAACCTTGTTTGTAATCTTCATAGGAAGAATATGTTGGTTTTAGTGTTACAGTCATCATATACAATAGACAACTACTCGAGCAGCTCAAAAAAATGTAGAAAAAGCTATAAATTGACTTTAAAAGTTATTAAACTATGCTTTGTATATTTTCTACTTTTATCTTGTTCTTATATATGTATAGAAACGATAAGGTGACCATGACGAGCATCATGAGAAAACTAAAAATAACATTAACGATTGCGATAACGATATGGCGATAATATGACGAATGATGACGACACACAATATTCATATTTAAAAGAACCCTAAACAATAATAATAAGTAATAGCCTTATTTGACTTTTTTTTTTCTCGGGTAGATGCAGTTCGATGATGATGACGACGATGCATCCTCTGCTTTGTTAGAAATGCGCCATAGTCTAAATATAACTGATTCAAGGTCATAACAGATTGTAGGTGTTTTTTGTGCATTTTTAGCTATAGAATTCATTCAAGCTAACCGGAGGATGCATCATCAAACTGCACCTCCCCGAAAAACCAAAAGCATTCACGCCACCTCCGCTATAATATATATATTAACGCAAGCCTATGCTATTAGTGATTCAGCATGAAAACCATTAATGTTTAGTCAAACAACGGGAAAAGAAACATTCTATAATTCAGCATATAGTCATCTGAGAAGTGTCTATTCTTATGACTCTTACCGGCTCGGAGAAAGTTAACTGCATCGTGCACGGGATGAAAGATTAACAAATATAGTATGGAGAAACTTTTCTAGCAACGGTTACATTAAAACAATAAGTTCCTCAGAGTTAAAAATAACGCTAAAAATAACATTAACGATTGCGATAACGATATGGCGATAATATGACGCCACTATCGTATTTTAGTATGTTCCTTTTTTACCCTTTCCTTCTTACACACGATCACTTGCTTTTACTTGAACCAGCTGGAATACTGAGGCTTCACAACGCAATTGAAATAGACTATCAACAGTAATTTTATTAAGAAACAGTTATCACGGACATAAAAACAACAAGTCCCTCAGAGTTCAACACTG